ATTCGACTGGGGTTTGTAATCATTTATTTAAAACAGAGTGGCGAGCGAAAAATGATTGATATACTGATTGCAGTGAATGAACAAACTTTAAATCTAGGTGATTGTTATTTTTATTTATTATTATTTATAATAAATTGCTGAAATGTTCTTCAAGTTTATTTTTCAAATAGTTTAGGTGTGTGGGTTTTGAACATTTTGTTTATTTCTTTCATGTAGTGCAGTAGTGGTTGAATGCAATTGTCTTGATAGGTACACATTAACGTTTTAACAAATCGAAAGGCAGCATCCTTCCTCCAAATATGCCAAATGCTTTGCAAAGTCTAAATGAGCTTTCATGTTTAGGATTCCAATAATGTTTATGAGGTAGGACTTGCTACCTGATTTAGTAACTGGTAAAATCATGACTCTTATTTTGTGGTACAAATAGCATTCCAACAGTGATGTTGGAGTCACAATATCATTGTGTAACTTGATAGTGTGACGTTTCTAGGGAGGGGGAGGGCGTTCTCTGGAGAAACGTTCATACGACTGTTTAATAATAAATGCTTTGGGAATATAATTCAGTTCTTTTTCAATTTTGTCTGCCTAGTGTGCAAGGACTGCACCGAAATTTCTTATTTTGAAAAAAACTTGTATGTCATAACACTAATTTGTTATTATTTTCTTACTAAATTCCATTTTGTATTTATGTGGGAACCAAGCTGGCACCTACAAGAGATCCTGCCCCGACTGACCCAAGACTTCAGGTGACCATACTGAGAATTTTCCATATAACCCGGGCTGGCTTGCCTACATGTGTTCAGTGTTATTGCCATAATTATATTTTCACACAAATATATTGTTACAATTAAGATATTTCTGACTGATGTCTTTGTAAACAATTCTGTGGGTTTTTAAATCTGAAATTCAGACACGACAAAATTTAGTGTAATTCAAAATTAGTGTTAATATAACAATAAAGTTGATGTTCGCGAGCATAACATATATTTTTATACTTTTGTAAAAGATCGATTTTGTAACCTAAAACATGACATGCAGGCATGCCACCAGTTGTACTTATTGAAGCTAGTAGCAACTTCAAGTTACCTAATTTTTTTGACAGACTTCAGGAGAAATCGAGATCATAATCATCACCTATCATGGAAGGTGTCCTTGACCTTGGTGTAATGATGTATACACAGTAGATGGTGTAGATACAGAAGATGATGTACAGAAAGGCTCTTTAAATTAAACAAGTTTTAATTAAAATGGTCCTCAAAAACCGAAAGAGGCTAAACTAAAGACAGCCAGAGCATCACATTGTGTATAGAATCTGTAAACTGGAGGCATAGTACACAATGAAGGCATAGTACACAATGAAGGCATGCAAGTTCTTTAAAAGTGATGGGCCGACAATCCCTAGTTTTTTCACCCTTCAGACCTTTTTTAACAGTTGCATGCTCCCCATATTGAAGGGCACTTGAAAATGATGTGCAGATAAGACATGCATGCTGGCTAGGCATGTTTTGACAGTTGCATAAAAACTGATTAGGATAAATGCCCAAAGTAAATTAATTTCAGTTGCAGGAAGCAGAGGTGAACAAGGTGTCATGATCGCTTTTTCAAAACAAAAAGAAATAAACCATTTAATACCCACTGCGTATGTTTGTCTTGTTGGGGTTGCCCAAGAATGTTGAATTAGCTGATAAACCAGTCTATTAGGTTTGAACCATTGGTCATGAGATGAGGAAAGGCAGTGGAGAGGCCAACAACACTAATTGCATGAAGCCGTCCATCTGAACATGAGAGAGCAAGTCAGCAATGCCATTGTCAATTCTGCACACTTCTTTAGCGGTAAATGTAAAGTTATTTTTAGCATACAAAGGACAATTGGTCGCAGTAAATCCATTATCTTTGGACTTTTAGAGGTTTTTTATTATAAACTTGAATGACAGACTCCCCAGCTAGCACACAACGTTATCCCAACGTTGTCTAAAGGTTGTATATAGGTTACGTCATGACTTAACATTAATACAACGTTCCCACCACAATGTTTTCTTACTTTGAACAAGAACAGGTTGTATCAACATTGGTTGAACGTTGCTGATTAACGTTCGTTATCTACGTTGTGGGAATGTTACATTCTGACATTGCCGCAACGTTGGTTGAACGTTGAATAATCACGTTCGATAAAAAGTATTTTTTGTTGTAGCAATGTTATATGTTAACGTTGCAGCAACATTGTGTTACGACGTTCGGCTACTAATAATCAAACGTGACAGAAACATTACTCATGAACGTCGCTTCAACGTTGAAACTCAACGTTGTGTAACTGAGTTTGGATGTGACGTGAAAACAACATTTTTATTTAGCTGAATATATATGCATTTTAAAATTGCATATTTTGATCAAGGACAAATATACGAAGTGAGCCAACGCTCATATATTCTGCATGTGCCGGTACTATGCGTAACACTTATTATGCGAATCTGAGAAAGATTTTATAATACGATTATGTCAGCCTCGTACCCAGGCGCTATAAATGGGCACACTACAGTGTTTTTATAGAGATCAGTGGCTCGAGCACGCGGGGGTGCTTGGGGAGGTTGCAGGAAACGAAGCGCCTGGCAGAATTTGTAACAAACATGGCGGACATGAGGATGCAAATGAGGAAATTGCTGTACTATACTCAATGAAATTGAAAGGCCTGCCCATCGAGCGTGACATTTGGGAAAGATTTTATGTCCAAATGATCACTGCGTTGATAATAATTATTTTTCCTCGAAAACGGTATTATATATTTATCATTTTAGCTGGCGAGTTTCCTCAGGACCTCCCCAAATTTAATAGAAAGTCTCCTGGTGATGGTTTATTTCAAATGGTTGAAAATATATGTCTGGTATTGGATGCACATCATGAAATGTACTGCCTTTTTGCAGTTTGAAAGAAAAGTATTCTGACAACAAAGCCAAAGTCAAAGAAACTGGCCAAGTTTATAACTTTATATTCTTGATATTTTAATAATACATTGAATTTTATAAATATGGAATGTTGAAACTACTATTTATTTGTACTGATGATACATTTTACCTCAGAGGAGAAAATTAACTGGAAAATATTTAATGATTGTAGGTTTCTAAAATTTTGCCAATAGAAGGAATATAAATTAACATGCATGAGTGCTTGTTAGTATGCAAAATATGGTGAAGATAAAAACATAAATTTTAGACCTCTATTGTTGTAACTGGCTGACAATAATTATATAAACCACAAACCAGACCAAACTAATCTCATGTCATGCATGGTTCACCTGTTGATGTTTGTGATTCACCTTACTTTTGAGTTTTGAACTATGAAGGCTATTGCCCTTGATTGCCAAAATCTACTATGTTTACACTAAGGAATGGGGTATACTCTGGATTTACCTCTGGCTGCATACAATACACAGACCTTCCAACTTTGTGGCATGAAAATGAGTGAGATTTAGTTTTTTTCCTGTAATATTATTGATATAGCCCGCTGACGGCGGGCTGGCGCCTGCCGTAGGCAGTGGAGTCTCTGAAATGCCATTTCCTGCATTTTGGGAGAAGATTAACAGAATTCTAAAGGTACAAAAATGGCATTAAAAATCTCAAAAGTAACACAAAGTCATTCTAAATTTAAATGTTAATGAGTTATAGCTTGCGCTTATGTGCTTTGTTGTATTCATAAGTAGCAGATTTAGCTGCTTTTAACTCTTTTCGGTCACACGCATTCGCATCATATTACGACCCAATCGTTCTAGTATAAATATCTCGGCGAGTATTGACCCCCCTTTTAAATAAAACCCACCATTGAAATCATCACAAAATAACCTTTCGAACGGGGGGTCAAGTGCCGTCTGAACATTACACAAACCGAAACAATCATATATTTACTCACCGCTTGGCCAAAGATTCTAAATTTCATATACACAACATCTTGAATACCCCTTGAACTTTTCAACATTTGCTGAACGGCTATATGTGTAAAATACTCTTTGTATTCAAGCGCTTTCGTGTAGAAAGTTTCGTATGTATACGCCGACTAGAAATATTTATTTTGAATTTTTCAAGATGTCGGGTTTTACTCGCACTTGAGTACATTGCGCAATAATTGGCCAATAAGAAGCTCCTGTAGCCGGGATGACGTCAAACTCACGCGTGTAGGTGCAATTTGACCTTGCGAATCCATTTCTGGCCTTTCCAGGGTCATACGATATAAGCGTCGCATTGTTTTGACGGTTTTCAGTCGTATTTCCGGTTGGGATTAACTCACTTCGAGCTCACAGTCGGACAAGAAATGGAAATATATTGATAAAAGATACAGATTTGAAGATACAGGCTTGCAAATAACACTCTAAATAGTGTTTTAATGGGAATTCTAACAAGCCTATTACAAAGACGATATGTTCGAAGGGGCCGAAGTTACTTTCGGCGAAAGGTATGGCTAGTCTATATTTTTGTTCAGACAATTGCGTAATTTGATACAATATGATCGTGTTGGACTTTCAAAGGCCGATAAATCGCTACAATGTTAATAATGGCTATAACTATCGTTTGGAACTAGTTGATCTTTTATTTCTGAATCGAATGGTGGTATTTCTGTCTTCATAGCACGCACTAAACCGAAGGTATGAAATTTCGAAGCCGTCGATCTCTCGAGATCGATGAGACTGGGTTGTGATGCAAAGAGTTAAGATGGACACTGGAGGCGTGAAAGTCTTAGCATTCAAATCTGCAAGCTTCACTGTCATTATTGATGAAAGTGTTCCTTTAACCTGAAGGCTTGAACGCTCTGCCCATTTGTTCTTTTCAATCATGCTAAAAACTCGCTCTTCTTCTGCATTTCAGTGAGGAAGGCACAGTACAGTTAAAGCAACTCGCGCTAACAAATCAAATCGAGGTGTACCATCAGCAGATTTGGTTGCGTTCAAATGCCCCCAAATGACATCCATTCGAAATAGGCAAGCTGTTCCATCTTCATCCGTTTTCACAGTCACATCATTCCAGACATGTTGGGGGGATGTTATCATTTGACAAAAGTTGATAGTCTATGAACTGTTCTTGCAGTTTTTCTTGCTCTTCAACACTCATTTCTAGATGATCTGGGAATCGTTGTAGAAAGAACTCGACCATTGTGAATTCATGCTCTCTGCGTTTCTCAAAATTAACAAAACGAGAATTCTCCAGAACTTTGTCATGAAATGGAAGTTTTGCCACAGCATACTGTGCAGCAGCTCTGTAAAACGCACCAACTGCATCATAGAATCTTTGCACCTAGATGTAAAAGAATGATTAATTAAAGGTGACTGAATGAATGAAACACTGAATAATATGCTCTATAAATGGACTAATAATAATCTGCCTGAACTGAACTATCAATATATTATTCTGCAGTATTACTGTAATTCTACCTGTTGAGGATCTAAATCTCCATCATTGAGCATCTTCATCATCTTTCCCTGTGTTGTAATTCCCACAAACATCTTGTCTTCTTCCTTTATATTTCCATCATCTGAGAAATATATCTCACACACTTTATTTGCAGCTGCAATGGCATGAATACGTATGAATTTGCCTGCCAATTTCTTAAGGAACGACTCAAGTTGATCCCATGGCCAGAAATTGCGGACATTGCTACTGAGCATGCTTGGACAATACAATCAAACATGGCCGCCACGCGGTAGTAGAAATTATAGGAGTGTAAACAAAAAATTAAAAATATAGCTATTGGTATCCTCTATAACGAGTTTGCACATCTCGAGTTTGCTTCGGAAGAGCCGTCGTACTTAAATGCTACAATTATTTTATCCATATCTCACGTTTTGTATGTTCCATTTTAAAACTGTTTTCAGCGATACTTTGGCTAGTAGAAACTATATAATTTTGTCTAAATTTGCCCATTTAGCGATGATTTTGTGCCGCCGTGCATGGTTCTTACGTTCTTGGCAACATTTGCACATCTCGGGTCATTTACAACACACACCATACTATATCCACAAAAAATTTGGGAGAGATACTCTTTGGTTTACTTGTTCCATTTTTATAATGAACACTGCGAATTTTTGAAGCTGTGACAGCAAATTTTCATGGCGATAATTTTCACGACAAAACGAAATTGCAGATAAACAAGGCCAATTTTAACAATGGAACCTTCGAGTAACTCGGCCATGTTTAGTATCAAAATAAAGCTTAGGAACCACGCTATTCGAAAATATAAACAGACGTGGCCTGTGCCTATTCCCCTGGGGCAAGAAAGCACTAGAATTTTACTTCCGGTTTTGTTGATGGCGGGATTAATTCGGGAATATGAACATGTAAAGTCTATATGTCTGACGTTCTGAAAGCATTGGATTTACATAAATGTAATCAAAAGATTTCCTTTTCAACGAAAAGGTGCCTTACTCATATAAGGCATTTACATACAGCATTTATTTATCTACTAAACATTGCCTAAGTTATCAATTCGGGAAAATCAAAATAATACATACATGTTATACTACACTGGCAGTGTCTGGCACCGACCGTAACTCGAGATTATATATACAATCAATGATTACAATCATAGATTTTTCTTTGCGCAATGACCCCTTTAGACCTTTAGCATCGCAAAATTTTAATTTTTTTTCTTTGCTCGCCGTGTCGTATAAAACAGCCGAAGAAAACAAGGGCAATTGCCTATAATCGAATAAATTGATATGTTTGGGGCTTCTCGTTTCGGCCATTTTATTTTGCTATTGTCATACTGATGCACATTGGGAAAGGTCGTGCGCTATCAAATTATCATGAAGAAACCCGCTGAGCAAGACAGGCACATGTCTCGAATTTCTGGCCATGAAAAGCAGATGAATAACTGGCTCTCCTCTCTGCAAGAATTTGTTGATGGTAGTAAAGGTGGGAATAACAGCTTGAAAGAACATCAAGTAAATCTCAGTCATCGGGTTTTCAAAATGCTTT